GTTTATATCTGGGCAGCGTTTCAGATCTAATGACGTTTCTGTAAGGCATAGTATCACTGAATAGTTTCAATTCGTATGCCATTGGCCAAGCAAAATCTTTGGAAAATTAAGCGAAAAATTCTTTTCTGGAGCGATCTTGTACACCTTGATTCTCGAGAAAATTTTTAAAATAATCCTGTCTGATTACATAAGAGAAGTGCAAAAATACGCTGACTCGGAAACAAAAGAATCACGCTAAAATATTTTAACCTGCACTCGGGAATGATGCAAGAGTAACACTATGGACTACTACACTATGCGTTAGCGGGATGTCAGAATTTTCCTAGAAGCTTCTCATGTACAAACATCCATGTAAAAGGATAATTTCTGAAAGTTTACAAAAACATTTGGTCGTCTGTATAAATTCTGAAACACAACGCATACTGGTATAAGTATGCTAACGTCAAATGAGTAGCTAAGTGATTTGCAGATGCACACTATTAGGAGCAGAAGGAGAATGAAGTATGTAAGATATTACTTCATAATGCGCGCTTTCTCCACCTTTCAAACTCACTATTAGCTATGAAAAAGGAAGCGGAAATCAGCATTATTTCCACCTATAAAACCATATCCTTCTTCAAAGCCTTTAACGAATTCTGAAAAGCCTTATAGAAAATAGAGTGAAAATCACATATTTTTCAATTGTACGACCCTTTATAACATATCCTTTATAAACCCAGCATTCATACAGACTTAAAGAACAAACAAAAAAAACCGTGAGTTTTTAATGTATTTTACTGAATGGTTACATAATACAAAGGAAGAGTGCACAGCTTATATAATACAAAGGAAGAATACAAACGACGGTTTCCACTTTTTTCTCATGAACGAACTAATAATCACCGATTTACAAACGACCTCTAAAAATATATGCAAGAAGGGTTAAAAGGAAAGGGAGTGGGCGGTTTTAACGTAACTAAACTGTTTTTCCCTTCGCGTTAAAGTTCTTTTTCTCTGATATTTCCTCTTTGAATTGTCTATGGATATCCTAACTTAAAGTTTAATCATTTTAGTTGACTGGAGTTTCTTGTGTCAAAATTTTAAGGTATAGAACTAGCTTTGCTAAGTAACTGTATATATGCTAGAAAATTTCTTTAGAGTAAACGCCCGAGGCTATCAGTCGAGAACTGGTTGAGATATCTATGCAAATTTGAGATGTATGATAATATGCCCAAATGTTAGTACTTTTTTTCCTTTTATGAGCTACCAGCTCGTTAAATAAAGAAAAACCTTGGGATGCGCGACAAATGGTATGGCACTTTTTGATCCTCATTGATCCATGGCGCTATCAACTTCAAGTATCTCACGTTTTTGGACATATCCGAGCATTATGGAATTCGCCAAAGGTATACGTTCCTGCTTTTAAAGTGCTGTTATAACGTTCCCCCTGTGGCAATCAAGCCGCTAAAAGTTGCCTTACTTCTGCCTAGACACTCCAATAACTCTTGTTTTCGCTCCATTAAAGATTATATGTTTATTTATTATTTCTGCCTTTATTTCTACTGATCATTCCTTCAGTGATTGTACAGATTATTTTTTATTTCTATTTTCACTTCTATTGAGTAAAGTGAGATTGTTTTCCTTTCTCGTCTTCTTTCTTATTCCATTCTGTGCAATCTC